AATCCCTAGTATGGGTAGTGAGCTTGGCTTGCGTGAGCTTAGAAGCATTATAACTCTTTTGACATGCTCATCTTGTCTATCTTGAATTATTGCAGTGTCTGTGTTATGTATGTGTTGAGTTAAATTACTAGCAAAGATGTGTGGAAATGCATCCGGAAAGGAGATGAACATTCCTTGAAAACATTTCAGAGCTGATGTTTGAGAGTACTATGTTAAAAGCATTTGCTTTTGATTTGCTTTTGACCTCCTGCAGAGCTCACCAAACTAGTTTTGGGTAAGACAAGACAGCACGAAGAACTGTGGCTTCATTTAAATGTGGGTAGTTGTGCTTTTAGGATAGAGACTTAAATTCTGAAATGTTAGGTGTTTGATTTTTTTTTTTTTTTAAGAAACTCTCTTTTCCCCTTACACTATGCTTTGTTTGTAGTGCTAGTTTTAGAATATTTGGGATGTTGTTTGGGTCACTGTTACCTGCTGTTTATAAGTACGTTTGTATTTGCTGGGGCCAGTTTATACCGTGTTACAAAGAATCCAATGTGACAATCAAAGGATCATGGTACTTCACCCTAAGAAAGATTAGACCTAGCGTCTCTATGAGCTGCATTCAGGGAAAGACAGCTGAGGTAATTTAAAAAAAAACACCCTCTTTTAACTGTGGCACTGGTATTTCACTATGAAGTTTATTGATGGCTGTTGTCACTATATGTCCAAAACTCATTAAGGTAAATCTTTGTTTGCCCTCTTTTCTCTTGTCTGAACTTTGCTTCAAAAAGCTATAGCGACCAGTGGAAGATTTCAATTAAGATTTCCGTTAAGAAATTGGGAGTCTGAGGTTAAATGCTCTCCACAGCTGTTTTTCTATGATTATTTTAAAAAATTATTGCACCATAGTATTAGCAAACCAATATGCCTATGATTATAATAGATAGTGAGAAAAAAATAAAAAGACAGTCTGAATAAATTCCAGATGCATTCTGTTTCTGGTATTTAAAATCTTAACTATTTTTTACTGGCCTGAATCAATCATAGAATAATTTGGGTTGGAAGGTCATCTTTCCAAATTCCTGCCCAAACCCCACGGTCAGCTATGAGATCAGACCAGATCCTGAAAATCTCTGAGGATGAAGACTGTGCCATCTCTGGACAACCTGTTCTAACACTTGGTTGTCCTAATGGTAAAAAAAATATAGATATTCCCTTATATGTTGGAATCCATTTGTTTTTCAACTTATGCCCGTTGCCTTTTTTCATCCCACCACGCATCGTTGTAAAGAGCCTCAATCAGGCTTCTCAATAAGCTTCTTGTAGGTGCAACGTGGTGGTTGTTAGGTCCACCCAACACCTTCTCTTCTCCAGCCTGAGCAAGCCCAGTTCCCTCAGCATCTCATCACAGGGCAAGTGTTCCTGCCCCCTGGCTATCTCGGTGTTCCTCCATTCAACTTGCTCTAGTTTATTGAAAGCTTTCTTGTACTGGGGAGACCAAAACTATACAGAGAAGTATCAGGTTGGTCTTTGTGCAAAAAAAGACCTTTTTGTAATTCTGTTACCTGGACGCTTAGGGAGGTTTTTGTACATTTCGTATCTGGTCAATGGGATCAAACTTTTTTTAGTTGAGTGTCTTGCAGGTGTATACCTTAGAGGAGTCTTTTCTGGGCCAACTCTAGGTTTTGGGATAACGGACTTTTTTTTTTTTTTTTTTTTTTTTTTTTAACAATGGCCCCTAAAAGGATGGCTGTCCATGGAGCTGCATACATGTAATGGGTTTATGATTGGCCTTCAGTGAAGAATTTAAACTAGAAGCTTGTCTTGCTGTAGCTGGTATCTTACTCAATATATCCTTTCTGTCTTTATACATAGACTCTAAGATTAGTGTGGTTGAGTATATTGAAAGTAATAAAAAACAGACACAGAAAAATTGTTGCATGTTTAAAAAAATCATAAAATGAAAGAGGAAGTGCATCATTTATTATAACACCATGTAGACTAATGAAAAACATACTGCAGTCTGGAAATTTGTTAAGAGCTGAACTCAAAAAGTTTCCATTCCCAAAAATGCCTTGGGGCCTCTGGCTGTAAGCTTGTGGCTAAAGAGGCCCTGTGGTAAACTGGCATAAAAAATAACTACTCCATAAACATTCAGCTCCTGTTTCACAATAGTTGGAAATAAGTTTTTTAAAAGTGTTACCTATTGATACTGACTGTACTTTATCAAAGGGAGGCAGTGCATTTATGACTAGAATATTAAATTGGGAATTAAACACTGGGGAGATGGGCACTGGGCACAAAAATGTTACGCTCATTGTACATAGGAGAACGTGAAGAAGATGAAGCGACTTGCCGAGAGCAACAGAACAGCACTCGGTACTGGCAGAGTTGGTGTTAACCTTAAATAATTCCTGGCTTCTAGTCCTTTGCTCGTTAACTAGACAGGGGTGAACAACTCGCCTACCCCCCACCGCTCTGAGCAGGTGCCAACCCTTGCACTTGAGCACATTCTTCAGGCTGCATCAAAATACACCCTCAGAATATTGACGGTATTTGCATCATCAGTGCTCAGATGAGTGGTATCGACCACGCAGAGAAGACCAGGTTTTGTGTGTGTCTCCTTTAATCTGTTTGGCTTTGTTAAAGGTGCGTCTTTCCTGCAGGGTTAGCCCAAGCTGATTGACTAGGTGTTGGCTTTGCCTTTCACCTCCTCCCTGATCGGCCCTTGTCAATCTATGAAAATCTTTGATTCCTTCCTCACATGGATTGGCAAGCAGTTTGCAGAAATAATGCCAATTAAACCTCCCGAGTGCTGATGTTCCTCCAGTCTGTTTCTGTGGTTTTTCTGGATGACAGAGGTTTCCCTGCCTGGCAAGGAGCCCTGGAGCGCCTTAAAATCATGGGATTCTTCCATGAAGTCCAAATTTCACAACCTGTAAAGACGTAGTAAATTGGATGTATCTTTGTGTGAGACTACTTAGGTGGCCAGTTTGTGATCTTTGAGAAGAAGGACAATCCGGGAGTAGATATTGCTTGCCTTAGCTAACTTTTCAGTGAGGATTCAGTAGTCCAGTACCTTTTCACAGAAGTAAATAGCAGGTCTAGAAGTCCCAATTTTGGTAAATATTTGCACTGTTGTACATTGGTGAAATAAATGTATACAATACTGGTCACACTGTATTGCTATAGCTGTACTTACATGAGGTGCAGCCCAGGAGAATGTCAGTCTGAGATTGAGCCACTGGGAGGAAAACAGAAAAGAAAAGAAAGAAAAAGTGAAACAGTTGCTTGTAGGTGATTGAAAGAAATTAAAAGAAAATATAATCAGTTCTGATAAATACAGATAACTTCATTTTTTTGTCTTGCGTCTCACTGTATCATGCTCTGTGTAGCGTTTACAATACACAATGTTTTCGTCCAGTGATTAGAAAAATCTATAACATAATTGTTCATGATGTTTGGTGTTGAATTGCTGCATGTACTGACTTGACTGTAGCTGAAAAGTTGATAGAATTAATGTGTCACAGTGGTGTTGATGGTTTTATTTACATTTGTGAAGGTGAATTGAGGATCTTGAATAAAAGCTGTACGCTGATCTAAAAATAGAAACATAACTTTCTTCTCCTCATTGAAAATGTCATGCTTGGTGGGTTAAAACTGACACATAACAGTCCTGATAGGAACTATTTGTCATGTAATATGATATGATGATAAATGCCAGTTTGGTTTGTTATTGTAAAAAGTAGTGGTTTTGGCATACTGTGTTATGCTAATTCACTTTGGTTACTGAGTATATATTTGCTCCTTTGCACATTGTGGGGAACAAGTATATGTTATTAAATTATAAAAAGAAAAGTATAATACATCTGACCACTCAAAATTTGTAATCAGTATTTCAATATGCAGATGTAACTTATCTAAAGGAGAAGAAAAATGAAGTAAAGCACTAATTTCCCTATGTCTTAGAGTGAAAAAAAAAATATATACACACACACATATATAGTCATTAAAGAGGTTTAAGTGTTTTAGCTTAGATAAATGATTGAACAGTAATATTTGGAGAGCAAGATAACTTTTAAGAATAGATGAGTTTTCCTCCAAAAAGCAAAATTAGCTAGTTCAAGGGTACTTAATTATGACTGAATTTTAAGGTAAGCAGAATACTTTATTTGGGAAAAAAATGGTTTAAGATAGCAGCCTGTGCCGCTTCATTCTTTTTATATTGAAGTTTTATTGAGAGGTGCAGTAACGGTCTGTAAAAGATCTGATCTCTTTCTGGTGCCCGTTTTTCCTTCCCCTTTTCTCTGCTGTCGCCACGGGTTCTGGTCTTTACCACCACGTGTTTCGGTCAGAGCCACCCAGCTCCCCCGCTCCGCTTGGCTGCTCTTTTCCCTCTGTTTCACATATTGTGGCTGGCGTTTAAGGGCCCAAGAAAAATAAACAGTGCAACCAGTATTTTGCTTGCAATTTTAGTCTCATAATTTGATGAAGAATAGTAAATAGAAGCACAAACTGTTACTGTTATGTGGTCTTGACCTTAAGAGACAGGGATTTCCACGGCTAATGTGTGTTTGTGGTGTGTCACAGGTGGAAATCGCCCATCGCCGGCTCTGCTGGTCTCAAAAGTCTGCTGCAGTGGCTGGCCCCTCTTCTCAAGAACAAAAATGAATGTGCCACTAATTCACGCAAAGAAACAGCGGGTCTTCTGTTTAGACTTTCCTAGAAATTTAAGTTGTGTTCAAGGACCTACTAAGACAGCTGTGCCGTGCATTAGAGCAGAAAATGGATGTGGGTAGCTCTCGTCCTCTGTGTTTTTAGGTGGGAAGGAGGATTTAAATAGTTAAACTGGCTGATAGCTCTCACTGCTGAAGTCCCACCTGTGGAACAGCTGTAAGACCTGCTGGAGCTTTGGGAGCTCCTGCCGCGCAGGGACAGGCCGCGGGAGATGGCTTCTCCTGACTAATGTGGTCCTTCGGCGCCTTGGTTGGGGTCTGTGGCGTCCTATCCACGTAGGTATGGCTATGACTGGAATCAGGCACGTGAATCGTCGTCGAATTCAGCTGGCGAGGTTGCACGAACTTATTTACGTGCACGGCAAGGTGCGATAGTGAGGTCTGCGTTGCGAGGACTGCTGTCGCGTGGCCGTGGAGCTCGTGGTGTGGGCTGGAGAAGGGTTCTGTCCGCAGCGGTCACCTAGCAGTCACCCAAGAGCAGCTTTGCTTCTGCTGACCTCCAGATTCACAAGGATAACGTCTATCTCGTTGCCTTCCTCCTTAGTGATTCAGTACCTCTTCTGGATTGATCTGATTTTCTTGCTTTCCGATCCTTGTCGTTGGAGTACAATTTCTTTTATGTAGCAAACAATGTTTCAGGAATGATTAAATCGCAACATGAATCATAAGTGAAACGCTGAGCTATACACACTGCTCTTCACGTCTATAAGCCTGTGGAGATGAATAACAAGTTTTGTAGTGACAGCCTTAAAGTGGGTTTGCAGTTTTGCTGGGAGCTGAACCTACTGGTTTTTGTCTTTTAACGTAAGCAACTTGAGGGGAATAAAAAGCTGGTTAATAAGTTTGAAATGAAGTTGTAGCATGGACAGAATGAGCATAGGTAGCTTAAAGAACGGAGTACGTTTTCAAGTATCATATGTAATATATAATTTTATTCATGAGGCCTGTGTTTTCTATTCTATCAAATATAAATCGTGTTGTATTAATCATGTATAATTCTGAATCACAACATAACGTTTTGCAGTGCTATAATTAAGAAAAGTGAAAGAGATAAGGAGTAGCAGCTGTATAGCTAATGAAGGAGTTAATTTCAACATGTGTTTTAGACCATTAAGTACTATAAAGCAAAAAAGCATTGCACTGCCAGCACAAACCAAAGGAAGGCAGTTAACTACCACTCCCTTCCCCGGACTAGCATCGCTGGGGATACCGTAGAGCTCAGGCTTCACTAAAATTGATTCATTAGTTCAGGCAGTAGCGTGCACTAGAAATGTGGAAGAAGATATAAATCATTGTTGCAGATTGTCTTTTAGCATGGAAAAATCTTTTGTGTTCTGCATGTGAATATAAATTTTTCTCTATGAAAATGTTTTTTATCCTTTCAGGTTGGAATACATTTTATAAACTTATTTAACAGTTTGAGAGCCGAGAGTTCAGGTGGTTTTTTTTTCTGCCTGGCAAGACTCTCCAGAGGCCGAGATCTGCAGGCCATCCAATACATCATTGTTCACATTGTACTTTTTTTTTTAACAAGTCTGAAACGTTTTCCTTGTGTGGTTTCGCAACCCCATATTTTTTTTTCCAAACAGCGTGAGTCCTATCACTAGATCAAATTTAGAATTCGCTGCTTCCAACAATTGTCTAAAGGATCCACATGTTTACACAGCGTGACATTGGCATCCAGATAGTGTCCTGAAAGTCTCCAATCAGCACTACTGTTCATGCTTCCTCCCTGCTTTAGGGAAAAAAAAAAAAGCTACAGGCACAGTTATTCTGGTATGCAAGGGAGCAGTGAATGGTCCCTCTACTTCAGCCACCAGTATTGTCTCACAAAGTTTAGAAATCGAACCTTTTTCATCTGCTGTAAATGAAAATGCCAACTCTTGGGAATCTTATCAGTGCCCGTTGCATCCATAAATAGATCTTAAAATGATACTGAATGGGAGACTGGACCCAATCCTTTTTTGTGTCCTGAGATTCCCAGACTGAATGAAAACTTTCACCTGAGTATGCCCCTGCTACCGGCCGGTGTACCGCTGCCTTGATGAAGCTCCCAGCTCCTTCTCCCTGCCGCTGTATCTGCCTCTGTGGTGGTACTAGCGTTTGCGTAGCCTTGTGGTGAATCAAATCACCGAATTGATCTTTCTGAAAACTAACCTACCAAGCAGCAGGCTCAGTCGCTTGGCATTTGCGTAGTATGGGAAGACCTTTTGTAATTAACTTGCCCGTGTGTTTTGCAAAATGTTTAATTCCTGTTCTTTGCGATTGGATGTAAATGAATCAGTAGCAATTACTTGGCAGCAACCTTCCACAGTCATTTTCTCTGAAGAAACTTAGTCCCTGGTAGCACTAAATGAAGGAAGAGGGGTTTGGCTAGGACACCAAAACCTTTCTTTTTTTAATGCTCTCATGGGATCTTTCACTTCCACACAAGCAACTGCCTGAACTGGCCAAGTGGTCTTGATTTAATATTGCTTTATGAACACTACTTGTCCCAGCTGCAGGATGTCATAACCTCTATTTCCTTAGCTTAGATTTGAAATCTGGAGCCATATGATTCAGACGAACCACAACTGCCCTAGCTTTAACTTGATGTATTTGTTTTGAAAATACTGTTGTTTGCTCCAAGTTTTAGCTGCTAAGCAAATTAAGCTGATCTGCACTGGTAAATGGGGAATACTTACCAGCTTGATTAAAAAAAACCCTAAAACCTGCAAATGAAGCTGAAGTTGTTTTTAACTCATCAGTGCCAATGAAGATACTTCATTAGTGTAAACTTAAAAAATGCAAAACTTTTTAAAAATAAAAATACAGATTGTCCCTAAGATAAGCGTAGCTATGATGAAAAAAAAAAAAAAATCTTACAAATATAATTGCATGTTTTTCAGTATTTCCGTGAAGGTTAGTGAGCTCACAAAAAAATGTTGCTGCACACATTCAGAATAGAGGATGATGAGCAGAACTGGGTTGGCTTTGCATTCAAAATTTCATTTTACGTGGGCTCCTGTTCTTGCGCAGCTTAGAAACAAGCTTTTGGATTTGAAGTAAAGCCAACTGGATTTGTAAAGATGCTTATCTTATTCTCTGGCCCTGTTCAAATCACCAGAAAATATTAAGGCTGACAAGCCTAACTCGATATGCTTCTCAATTAATATTTTTATGCTAGATTATAGTACACAGAGATCTGCACAAATGCTGGGTTTGTAGTCACTCAACTGGTATTTCTAAGTGGCAGATGCTTGCTGCCTTTGCTACTGTGTTGTAGCCCTGTATGTCTACTCTCCACAAATAAAGTCACTGCAAATATTAGTGTCAGTTTAGTGCCTTTGCATGTAACTTGTTGCATTACAGAAATCTTAATTTCTCTGACAGACAAATTTAATATGGCACTAAACTTTTCAGTTCTAGGTTCATCTGTACAGTGTGTGTCAGCTCCTCTCAACTCCCTGTTCTTTTTGGCGTTTTGTCTCCCATTGAAATGTATGTGCTTATCGCGCAGGACATTATTTGTTGGGGTTTTTTAATTTTTTTTTTTAAAGAGTAACTTAATCCAGAGTAAGCAGGCAGAATAAATGCTGTACGACATCCTTTCTGAAGATACTTGATGGCATGCTTTAAAAACGTAAAATTAAAAAAAAACATGGAAAAACAGTCTTTGCCATGGCTGTAGCCTGTTTAAAAAACCAAAAACAAAAAACCAACAAAACCCAAACACCCACAAATAAAAACCAAAAACTTGCAAAAAAACCCCCCTTTTATTAAAAAAATTGAGGCATAGCAGAAAAAATGGAAAGTCATCCAAGAGGGTCTGCAAGTGTACCCCATTCCTGAAGATCAGTCTAAATTGCCATTATGTCCTATGAGGTTTTGTCATTACTCGTTATATAAATGAAGATGTAGAAATCTTTTACAATTAAGCTTATAAACGTCATAATCTAATTACATTCTTTACTTTTACTTCTTATAATTGCCATTTTGTAGTGGTTATTTTGTGAATTTTCTTATTTATTTATTCATAAATGCTCGGAGAGACTAAAAAGAAAGTTTGAGAGCTGGGATGGTTTCGCAAATATAGTTTAGAGCTGTTGGTCAATCAGCGAACTGCTTCTGCAATCTGAAATACAAGTAGCCCTCGCAGCACCTGCGAGTACAGCATGTAGAGGGTGCTAAGTTTGGCAAATCAAGATTTTTGTTCAGGTGACATGCAGAGGCGGATCAGTCTTAGGCATCTGCAGAGTTGCTTCTATTTGTCAGGCGTATCTTACGGATTGGAAAAATATTGAGGAAATTGCATTCAAACACTGAAAATGACCTTACAATTAAGATGCAGTTTTACTTGATGGATTTAGGCAGTTCTGCTTGCTGCCAAACTGCATGGACCGAGTGAGGTTTTTCTTCCTCCTTTTATTTCCCCTCTCTCCCAGGGTAATGCAGTTCACTGGTGTATTGGGTTTGTCTGGCAAGGTCAACCCACCACAACTGGTTCTGAGTTTGGTTTAAGACAGTGGAGCTATTCCGGATTTAAAAGCTGGTTTTGGTGTCTGAAGGCAATGCTGTGACCCAGGGACATGAGCTGAATTCCTTAGCAGTGGCTACACGACCAGCTGGAGCGGTTTCTTGCACTTCACTGCCTATTCTTTTTTGACAACGGGATTTTGCCCATCCCATTTTTATATTTTGCGCAATGTCCCGACCTCGTGGGCTGATCTGACTTTATTTACATGTACACACAAGAGCTTACGTTTCACATCTCTAGGTAGACCTGCAGAGCTGACAGCTAGAGGAGCGCTTTCTCGACCCTCCCAGCCCCTGAGAGCCGGCGGGTGCTGCTGGGCTCAACGGCACCATTGCTGGCCAAGCGGCTCCCCAAAAGGGAATATTTGTGCCTCCTGGCTTGCGAGCTGATTTGAACGTGGGCATTTTTTTGCCAAGCAGCTGGCCCATCTGAATTTGACCACCTCCTGACAAGCTGCAGCTGGGATGTCTGCATTGCCTGGCTTTCTGGCATGTGCCTGATGGCGTGAGGTTATTTCTCAGCTAACCTGCTACTAGGACGCATAGCGAGAGAAGAGAGCTGTCTTTGTGTCTTTTACTAGTAATCAGCATGACTAGAGGTAAGGATTGTAGAAGGGAGGCAGAAGAAAGCACGCCGAGCGCTGTAGCTGTAGCGCTCGTGAACGGAGAAGCTGGAGGTGGGCTGAAAGTGTTGTTACGACAGAAAAGAATGGGATTTTGCAGTGAGGAGGAAGTAGTGTGGTTGATATTGCTACACCACAGTTCTCAGTAGCCCACCCATTTGTTTTGACATAAATACCTACTATTGAGCTATGGGGAGGCGTGAAGACTAGATGCATACATTCAGACTT